CCGTGAAACTTTAGTAATACTAATAATAGTGGATGATAAAGATGGCGGTGGTACGTACGTGGTATTGATGATGACACTGATCAATGTTTCATAATTTTTACAATTTCATCATCATCATGTGTTTTTTACATATGTTATTTGTCAATAATCCAGCGCATACCTTCCATTTGTCTTTGAGAATTCATTTGACTTATTTTAAATTCAATTTATTTGGTTCAGTTTCCTACTAAGCAAAACATCTAACTGATATATCACAACCATTAACTTTTATGAAATTTTTTGCTGTTCAAACTGAAGAAGACCAAATGATTTTCCGTCCATTCTTAAATGCACGTATTCTCTTTCCAGATGCGATAAAGCTCAGAATTGCCATTGCATTTGCTGTAGGATGTGCTGTTCTACTCCTTTCTGTCTTTCTGTTTCTCCTGTACAAATTYGTCCAACGTCGTCGTCAATCCCAAAAGAACGATCACAAACTCCTCCACAAAACAGCCTCCATCCGGGAAAGCGATTTCTCCCATGCACCCCAACAGCGCCGGCACAGACCTCTCATGCAGACAGACAGCTCAGCCTCTGATGTCTTTCTCCCTGACTGGAGAAATGGAAATATGAGTCCCACAAGTGATTCAGACGAGGGACACATTGAGGCAATCCCTCGCGTTGGAAAACTGGAGTTTTCCGTGTTATATGACACAGAAAAGGAATGCCTAAGAGTGACAGTTTTATCCGCAAAGGGATTAGCGCCTTATGAAGCTACTACATACGTAGAAATCTATCTCTTACCAGACAGAGAACTGAAACATCAAACTAAGGTACACTACAAGAATTGCAATCCCGTGTACAAAGAAGGATTTGAGTTTGACGTCTCATTTGCTGAACTTCAAGAGCGAACACTCCAGTTTTGTCTGTTTAGCTTTGATGGCTTCTCAAGGCATAAGACTATTGGAGAAGTGTTTTATAGTTTTGACGAGAACTTGAATTTGGAAGATAATACTGCGAAAGTACTAGTAACAGATATAAAGAAGAATATTTCATTGTTTGCGGTAAGTGTTGGAATAGTCAGTGTTAATGACTTGATAGCATAACCCATCGGCGCACAAACATAACAAACACCAACCCATTTACCACATCACCACTTACAACCACTTAGGGACGGACCATTAGATAGTTGATAGTGGGGGGAGGGGGGTTGCGTAAATCCCCCAAAAAAATATCGAGCAAGCATTTTACGATAACTGACAAATTTCTCGCGCGCTGATTGGTTATTTTTTATCATCAATAAGAGGACAGATRCATAAAAATCTGACGTCAATTTGTTAATTTAAACATCAAAAATATCGTGCAACCTCTTCTGCTAGAAGAGAAATATCTAACTGTACGCAAAAAAATAACGTGCAACCTCCTCTGCTAGAAGAAAAATATCTAACTGTACGCAAAAAAAATAACGTGCAACCTCCTCTGCTAGAAGAAAAATAT